TAAAAGTTCTATACTTGTTTACCATATTTAGAAAGTTTTTCAAACAATGATTTTTGAAAGGAGTTCCAAAAGTACTAACTTAACTGAAATGAGATTAAGTCAAATTTAAATTTCATGAAAGCCAGTTAGCTCAACGATATCTCTAAACAACCAAGATTTGTCTCTCACTGGTTATGTCAGGGTTTTGGCTCACTCAAATCAGTTACGGAATGCATTCTACATTATAGCATTTGGTTTGTCGAATACAGTTTAATGGCACAATATTAGCCAGAAGCCCCTATACGGAGTCAAATATAAACGGCACTACCTATTGGATGTAACGAAATCAAACTATTGGAAATTAAGTCTGTCGAAAAAATAAAAATATTGAGAATGCTGGGTGATACCTTTTCCCCCTTACTAAATCATTTAAAAAAAAAGCCGGAGTACTAAATTCAGTTTTTATTTACAACGCAGAACAAAGTAAATTAATGTTGTGCTCGATGTCTAGTTCAGTGGTTCCCAAAAAGTGTTCCGTGGAAAAATAGGGTTTCTTGGAAAGGTTCCGAATTTAGATTTTTTTCAATTAAAAATGATTTTTGATATCTAATTATGTCCAGATCAATAATTCATTTAATTTTACGGTTCATTTTATGAAATATTAGTAAAATGCTAGTGAAAAAAATAGCAAAATTAATATTATAGATAGGTATACAAACAATGTATTGAATGAATTATGAAAACCAATATACATTTAAACAAAATTGATCATTCTCAGCGTTTATAATTCACTTTTGTTTACCTATCACAAAAGCTAAAATTGAGTTTATCTAAATATCACTTTAAGCTTAGTATTTATTTAATATTATTTTCAAGTTTTGTATACAGCTAAAACAAATGTAGAACTAATCTGTTTAGTTAACCGCTTCATGCCTGCGAATTCATAAACTATTTTTGATAAAACGATGAGAAATATTCTTCTTATTAAATATTTTCAAAATAATTATTAATTTTTTTAGCTAATGTTTACACTGGTTATTGCTGATGAACCGCGAAAAGAAAATTTATCATTTAGGGTTCCGCACCAGAAAATAAAATTGAGAGTACTTTCTACCAGTACTTTTATTTATTATCGCCAAGCTCGGTAAGGGTGGTGATGATGATCCGGCAATTTCAATCGCAGAATAGAAAATTAAACATTTCGCCGACTGTTTCATTGTCACTGCGTCATCATTTGTAAAAACATTGTGCAGTTGTTCTTAATACGTCAGAAATTGCGAGTTTATCTTTAATATAATTGGTGAAAAATTTCGTTGGTCACTTTCATTCGAATGTTTTAGGGATGTAGAAAACTGATAGTAAGAATATAGTTTTATCCATCGCTGAGCACAGACAATAGCTTTCATTGAGGATTTATGAATTGTTTGCGAAAACAAAGCTTGTATCATTAGCAAATTCTGTGTCATTCATTTTTCTCTCAAGAGAAAAAAATAGGCACGCACGTCACGAAGGAATAGATAACATTCGACAAGAATTAATACTTAGTAGAGTTCATTAGCACCAGTTAGTGAATAGAATTTTAACTGGATTAATCCAATTTCTTAAAGTTTTCCTTAATTGTGGAGAAAGGATCAGAAATTTAAAATTTTGTAGAAATTTTAAAACGAATGTAAGCATACACTTATATAATCTAGTGCCCAAAACAACCTCGAAGCGGGTGCGTCTTTATTGGCTGCGCTAGTCATTAAAACAATTTTTTAAAATACTGGTTTGAAATGAGTTAATTTATTGTATCTAAATTTGAGAGAATTTAATTTTTTTAAATGCAATATGAGGGAAACTAAGCTTTATTTTTGAAAAATAGTTCCGAAAGAAGGAATTTGACTGAAATGTGATTAAATTAAATTTAAATTACATTAAAATAAATTCAGTTAGCCCAACGATAACTTGTTGTTGTTCATTTACGTCGCACTAGAGCTGCACAATGGGCTATTGGCGACGGCCTGGGAAACATCCCTGAGGATGATCCGAAGACATTCCATCACAATTTTGATCCTCTGCAGAGGGGATGGCGCCCCGCTTCTGTAGCCCAACTACTTACACACGAAGTCGAACACTTTACGGTAACGAGGACCAATACCGCACACCCACGGTCCCTATGCAGACTGATCCAAGTGGTCAACCACCCGCACACTGACCGCAGCCAGTGCTGCTTTACTTCGGTAATCTGATGGGAACAGTGTCTTAACGATCAGTCCACTGAGGCACGCCAACGATAACTCGAATCAAGATTTGTCTCTCATAACTTAGTCTGTCAGGGTCTTGGCTCACGGAAATAGATTACGGAATATATTCTTTTATAGCATTTACACATTATAGCATTTGGTTAGTCAAATACAGTTTAATGGCACAAAAGTCGGAAGCTCCTATACGGCGTCAAATATAAACGCCATTACCTATTCAATGTAACGAAATCAAACTATCGGAAATTAAGTCTGACTCGAAAATAAAAATATTAAGGAAGCTGGGTGCCGTACCTTAGTTAATTTTTTCCCTTCACTAAGTGATTTTTTTTTTAAAAAAAAGCCAGAGTAATAAACTTAATTTTTTATTTACAACGCAATGCAGAGTACATTAATATTGTACAATATGTCTAGTACAGTGGTTTCCAAAAAGTGCTTCGTGGAACAATAGGGTTTCATCGATAGGAAAGCAACTTAATGACAGAGGAACCGGAATCTCCTTTGTCTCCCTGGTTACACATATAAGAACATTTTTAGTATAACTATCTTATGGTTGTATTCGACGAGATTGCTGATAAGAGCTGGGCATGATTTAGAAATCCGGGGGCTGTCGAAACAAACAGTCGGAAGCCCCACTGGTCGCAGTTTGAAACCAAATTTTCATGTTTGCATAAAAAATGCTCTTAAAATATTTATGGTATAAGATATATTATGATATATTAGTAAATTTGAGCTTATATATACATACCCAATGGGATTTCTTCGATTCTATAAATATTTTTACTAGTTAAATATGAAGTCTGATTTTTAGGGTGTATGCCAGTATTCTGTCCTTAAAAAATTCGAATTAACAACAAAAACTAAATCATACACAGGCTGTTAAATTTTCAAGTAAATTGAATATAAATACTGAAGATTGCTGCTATTTACAAATAACTCCTAAGTCTTAAATAATAGCCCAAATGCATGATTACTTCACGATTAATTTTATTAACAAGTTTATTGTTAGTGTTTAGTTTTAAAATATATTATTCATTAATATTTAATTTTAAATTTTAATATAATATTTTTTAATTCTTAATTGTAACTTTAAACGCTAGCAGCATCAATTCATTAAATATCATTATTTTTTGTTTAATTCAAATTCAGAGATGTCAGCACAATTTTTGTTTGAGTCTGCGCAGTAGTAAGTTTCATTTTCGAACCTTTACTTTGTTTTTCGCCACGGAGCAAATATTATATACGAATTCGATGTGTTGTAGATGGTTATAATTTTTCTTTTCGGGACCAGCTCCCAAAGATATTACGATGATACGTTCAAAATTGTTATTTATCGATAGCTATTAGCTATATTAATTTACGAGGTGAGTCGTTTTTATGTTTTGTTGTCATTAGTTGTGCTGAACTGTCTGAAATCGTTTTCATGTTTAATTAACTAAATAATTTGCTGCTATCTTATTTTCAACTTGTTTACTGTTAAAAATTTCAATTCAAGTTTATATTTTGTGAAATCAATTAATATCCAGTATCGTTAATTGTTCAATATATTATTTGCAGAATAAAATGTTCTTAAGATTCTTAATTTGTCAGGGTTTAAATTTTACAATATATATTTTTTTATTTTTCTTTTTTTATTTTGGTAATTAATTTTACCTGGTCCGTCGTTTTACAATTTCAAGTATACATTTTTTGGTCTCGTCGAGACGGGAGACAGCCACTGAGCTATTGTTTTGTCGTGAGAATTAGCATTTTCGTGCTTTTGATTTCGTACCGGAAACGAAGCTGATTCTTTTGTTTGTTTTGATTAGTATTCGTATTTTCGATTTCGATATGGATATGTTAAAAAAGAAGCGTAGTGTGTTAAAGGGGAAAATTACTAGAATTTCAAACATTCTTCATCCGAAATTTGATCTTGTTTCTATTGATGTCGCAGAATTAGAAGTATTTAAAGAACAAATTAACGAAATTTGGTCTGAATTAAACAGCATACATAACGATATTATGTTACAATGTAAAGAAGATGAATTTGAAACGAATTCAAATGAATTGGATGAAATCGCATCTAAAATTGATTTATTAAAAATCAAAATTGCTCGTGAATTTTCAAAGAGTAAAACGGAAGTATGTAGTAATAATGCCGCTTATGTTAGTGATAATAAATCGAAACTTTCGGAAACTTGTTTAAAACTCCCAAAATTTGAATTACCAACGTTTTTTGGTGAAAGCGAGAAATGATTGTCATTTAAAGAATTATTTTTGACGTCTATCGATAAAAATTCTGATTTAACGGAACTTCAGAAATTTCAGTATTTATACGCTAGCGTAAAGGGAATGTCCAGTACTGTACGAATCTTACTTAAACTAATTTCAGGTTTTTCACTTACTGAAGAAAATTATAAACATGCCTGGGAAACTTTAAATTCAAGATTTGATAATAAAAGAGTTACGCGAATTTTATTAACTTTAGGTTTAGAAGTAAACTCGTTTGTCGATTTAATTTTAATTCATTTTATTTTGGGTAAATTAGACGAAACACTTAGGCAAAGATGGGAACTAAGTTTGACAAATCAAGATTTTCCAAAATTTTCTGATTTGGCTAAATTTTTAGAACAACAGGCGAAAGGTTTATCTTGTAAAGATGGAATGCAAACGGAAATAAAACGAAATTCGATTCCTAAGAAAGCATTCGTTAACAATATTGTTGTGAATAAAAAAGAAAATTCATGTTTTACATGCAGTGAAAGTCATCCAATTTTTAAATGTCCTATTTATGGTAAAATGACCATCGATGACAGGTGGAATCTCATAAAAAGCCCCAAAATTTGTGCAAATTGTTTAAGGAAGGGTCATTTTCCGAATTCTTGTCCTTCGAACTTTACTTGTAAATCTTGTCAAAAAAGACATCACACTTCACTGCATCGATTTTACCCTATAAATTCTAATGTTTACAATTCCGTTAGGCAAAATTCAAATTCATTTGCTAATACTGCAGCCAGATCTGAAAATTTAGTTGAAGCTAGGGATAATATTCAGCTCAGCACAACTTGTCAACAAAACTTTAAAAGTGAGGAACATACTTTATTATCAACAGCTTTAATAAAGGTTAAAAATGCTAAGGGACATTTCGTTAATTGCCGAGCGCTGATTGACAACGGCAGTCATAAATCTCTAGTGAGCAAAAACTGTGTTAAAAGACTGCAATTATCAAAGACTGTTACAAATCATTCGATTTCAGGAATTAATAATACGCTAGTAAAATCTTCTTTATCTGAAGTATCTTTGGTCTTTTCTCCACATTTTAATGAGAAAAATTTTTGCTGTAAAGCTTTAATTGTAGACTGCATAACAAGTGATTTACCGAACTTCACATTTTCTTCATGCAACTGGCCACACCTGCATGGTCTAATGCTTGCAGATCCAACATTTCATGCTACAGGTCCAATAGACATTCTGTTAGGAGCCGACTTATACGCTGACTTGCTAATTGGAGAACCAATTTTAGGGAAGAAAGGTACTCCAGCTGCACTCAATTCTCATCTAGGCTGGCTATTATCAGGAAGAGTGTTCTCAAACTCCAATAAGGAAAACTCCTTTGTGAACTGTCATCTTACCTCATCGTTGGATTGTCAATTGGCTAAATTCTGGGAGCTCGAATCTTTACCTCAAGCTGAACTGAAATCAAAGAATGATATAGATTGTGAAGCATTTTACGAAAAAACGGTTGCTAGAGATCCATCTGGACGGTATATTGTGAGAATACCTTTCAAACATTCTATAGAATTTGGTGACTCAGCTACTCAAGCAAGTAAAAGATTCAACTACATTGAAAGAAAACTAAGTAAGAATAATGAACTTGAGCATCAGTACACAACTTTCATGTCGGAATATCTTCAACTAGGTCATATGGAAAGGGTTCCTTCCGACGAACTGATTAAGGAATCAACATTTTATCTACCTCATCATTTCGTTATTAAAGAAGACAGCAACACAACCAAACTAAGAGTGGTCTTCGATGCGTCAGCTAAGGATTCTTCAGGGAATTCTCTCAACAATGCATTGCATGCAGGTCCTCGTTTGCAGCCCGAATTATTTTCTCTATTACTAAAATTTCGAACTTTCAAAGTTGCATTTACTGCTGACATCGAGAAAATGTTTCGCCAAATTCGTATTCATGAAGAGGATACTGATTACCAACGAATACTCTGGAGGTTCAAACCTGATGAAGAAATCCAGATATACAGATTATTAACTGTTACCTATGGGACAGCCTGTGCTCCCTATCTTACTGTAAAAACGCTTCAACAACTTGCTAAGGACAAAGAGAAAGCTTTTCCTGATGCTTCAAGAGTTCTTAAGGAAGAATTTTATGTTGATGATCTGTTATCAGGTACAGATTCCATCCCCAATGCCAAAAATCTAGTTTCAAACTTAAAATCACTTTTGCAACGAGGAGGTTTCAATCTCAGAAAATGGTCGTCTAACTGTCTAGAGGTTCTATCAGATCTTTCCAAAGACTCTCTTGCACAGCAGCACAACGTTACTATAGAAGGAAATCAATGTCAGAAGGTTTTAGGACTGTATTGGAATACACAGCAAGATACTTTTCAGGTGAACATTTCATTTCCAGAGATAGTTACATCAAAAAGAGAACTGCTTTCTGTCATAGCTAAGATTTTTGATCCCCTGGGCTTTCTTTCACCTGCCACAATCATCTTAAAAATTTTGATGCAAAGCCTATGGAAAAATAAATTAACTTGGGACGAACCTTTAACCGAAGAACTCTTATGTGTCTGGAAAACCTTCCAGGCTAAAAAACAGGCTTTAAAGGAAATAGCAATTCAAAGAAGACTGGTGTCTGTAAATAATATAATCATTGATGCCCAGTTACACGGATTTTGCGACGCCTCACTCAAAGCATATTCAGCTGTTTTTTATTTGAAAGTAGTGGATAACGAAAATAGAGCTTCAGTGAACATAGTGGCAGCAAAAACCAGGGTCGCCCCTTTGAAAACAGTATCACTACCTCGCCTCGAACTGTGTGCAGCTCATTTGCTAGCAAAATTGTATAGTAATCTTCAAATTTCGATAGATCAATTTTGGAAGCAAGTGTTCTTATGGTCGGATTCAGAAATCGTTCTGAGTTGGATTCGATCAGACTCTTTAAAGGATCAGTTCGTAAAAAATAGAGTTGCAGCCATAACATCACTTAATATTGGCGACTGGAACCATGTGGCTGGTGTTACCAATCCTGCCGACTGCGCCTCTCGAGGAATTTTTACAAAGAAGCTTATGGACTTACAACTTTGGTGGCAGGGCCCGGAGTGGCTATCTAATGCAAATTCAGCATTCACCGAAGAGGTTAAACCAAACTCTGTTCACACTCCCAACCCTGACACTTTAATACATGCCTCAGCAGTTGAAAGTAATTCGATGCAAGAGTTAACTCAAAAATATTCATCATTCAGCAAATTAATAAGAGTGATTGCTTGGTGTAAAAGATTCGTGTTCAACTCGAGAAATTCGGGAAATCGGATAAACGGTTGCCTTCAAGTTTGTGAACTGGATAATGCTCCTATCGCAATTATTAAGGAAATTCAAAGGGCGGAATTCAGTGCTGAAATTAAGTAAATCAAAAATAAAGGCTGTGTTCCAAGAAACTCTAAAGTAATAACCCTTTCACCTTTTCTAGATTCTGACAAGGTCTTAAGAATTGGTGGGAGACTCAAAAATTCAAATCTGTCACTGTCGGCTAAACATCCTATTCTTTTGCCGAAAAGTCATCATTTTGTCACGCTTATTATAGACTATTATCATAAGCTTTCGTTACATTCTGGCATTTCTATAGTTTTATCTTTAATTCGGCAAAAAGTTTGGTTTCCAGCTGGGAGAAACACAGTAAGAAAGATCCTCAGAGGCTGTATAACTTGTTTAAAGGTAAATGCTGTTTCTTCAAGCCAGCTCATGGCCGATTTGCCTCGTGATCGAGTTATTCCATCTAAACCTTTCCAACGTGTTGGGTTGGACTTTGCAGGTCCAATTTCAACTAAACCAAATTTACCAAGATCTAAAGTCACCTTAAAGTCGTACATTGCACTTTTCATTTGTTTTGCTACGAAGGCTGTCCACTTGGAACTTGTCTGATTTGTCAACAGAAACCTTCCTAGCATCCTTTCGTCGATTTATTGCTAGACGAGGGTTGCCATCTGGTGTATACAGTGATAACGCCACAAATTTTAAAGGAGCCAGTAACTATTTGAAGTCTCTGTACAAAATTGTTCGAGACAATTCAGTTCAAGATTTTTCCAGCAATCTTCAAATCTCTTGGCACTATATTCCTCCTGCAACACCTCATTTTGGCGGACTCTGGGAGTCTAATATTAAATCAACCAAGAGACATCTGCTAAAAGTATGCGGCTCAGCTATACTAAATTTCGAAGAACTGGCTACGCTCTTGTGCCAAATTGATGCTTGCCTCAATTCTCGACCGTTATGTCCCTTAACCTCAGAAATAAGTGATCTAGAGGCTCTTACCCCTGGACATTTTATTGTGGGTGCTCCACTTCTTTCATTGCCTGAGAGAGACCCATCACCATCCATGTGTCTCAAGTCTAGATGGTCTTTAATTCAAAAACTTCGTGCTCAATTTTGGAACAAATGGAGTAAAGATTATCTCCAAACTCTACAAACTAAATCTAAGTGGACTGGTACATCAACGAATGTTGCCGTTGGGGACTTAGTTCTCTTAAAAACTGACTCGATCTCCACACCTTTAAAATGGACTTCAGCCCGAATAGTAAGGACTTTTCCTGGCAGTGACGGACTGGTTCGGGTCGTAGAAGTCAAGACTTC